AGAGCTTCTGGTGTGTCCGTCTTCTCTGTCTGAGCACACTGGGGTAGTCTTGCACATTTTTTTTTCCCAAAGTGTTTTACTGCAAATGCAACTAAATGAATCTGAATCTGAGTTGCTTACAGTCTGAACTAAATGGTGTTTAATGGTATTTAATTATCATGAAAAGCTACATGAAAAATGTTTGCATTCCCATTGCAGACCCACTTATCATAAAAAAAGCAGTATTGGTGATTTTATGTTTTTATTTGTGCAGGAGCCTGAGGCCATTGTGTGGGGGGGGTTAGCCGTCAGCCTAAAACTTCAAGGGCAGACCCAGTTACTGTACCGGCCCCCCACACCCCCCCCCAACTGAAGTTATTAGTTTCAAGTCTGGGCTCTATGCTATGTCAGTTTGCTTTATAGTCTAGCTCTGTCAATATTCTCCTGCCTTCTGGACCTGGACACACGCTGTGTCTAATTTTTGATGACCTGGTCCTCCTGCTGTATCTGCCTTCTCACTAATGTGTGGTTGCTTCAAAAGTCTTGCAGAATTGCATATTCTACATAGTTAAATGCCTAAGTCAAAACATACGAGCCCTGAAAGACAAGTGAGGTTAGAGTCCTGTCCACAATAACATGCTAACACCAAGTAACAAGTAGTTTCTGCCCGAACTCCGCTTAATGGACGCATTGTCTTTTTGTACCACTAACAATGCAGCCCTAATGTTTTCTTGCTGCACGTTCGATGCCCTACTGCATCGAAGGATGAAGTCATAATGCATGAGAACAAATTTTCCAATCATAAGAAAAACACATTAACTGTACCTATGTCCTCAATGCCAGAATCAGACCCCTGTTATTTAGTGAACAGTGATATATCAGCGAGTTTGTTGCTTTGTGCTTACAATCAAGGCTCCAGGTCAACATCTTTTTATGTTGGGATTAAAACAGATTTCCAGATCAGCCTATTGTGTAGGTCCCGTTTAAGTGTGACCGTAGACTCGGAACAGAACTCAGAAAAAACACTTGTGTAATGTGCCATTCAAGAATGAAAGTGAAAGATGTCTCTATACCTACAGCTTGAAGTAATTAGGGAAAACAACAACTGCGCTGGCAGTGTTTGAAGGCCAAATATAACTGTAATCTTGTTTAAAACCAGAGAAAAGTAGTTTAATATAAATGAACTACAAATGGCAGCCTACTAGGTTCCAGAAAAAAAACATCTCAGTTTTCAAAACCCCCAATTTTTGGAAAATATCAATCACCTACCTGGAAACCGTCCTTTGACCTGCACCTGTGAACTTGAGGGCTGCACTCATCTCCCCGCCTGGGAGCCTCTTCCTGCACCGCACAGCGCGCAGTCCAGGTCCACAACCTGACTCTGGTGCTACAGCCTGTCAGACCATGGAGTGGGATTCTCTCTCCCAGAGGTTTCCTCACATCTTTTCCCCAACTTCTTTTGAGTGAATCCTTGCTGTATCAAGTACAAGTGATTATCTGGGAGCATTTAGAGACCTCTATGGACATTTATTAATCATCTATGTGCAGTTGGAAATTCCTGCTCCCTATTGCCCGATGTGTTTTTTATATAATGCATTTTCCTGTGTTTGTAAAGTCTTTTGGCGACAACTGGCTTGCTGCGAATTTAAGGCTATATACAATTATATGTATTGAACTGAATTCAATTTGGAGAGACGAAAAACAAGAATCCCCCCCCCCTTTTTGATATTTATGGGAGAGGTTTGGCGCCCTAGGCCCCGGTGCGGCCGTCAGATCGGAGAGGCTCCTGCGATGGAGCGCGCCAATCCCCGGGCACTAGGCCACTGTGGTGGCGCATTTGGCAGCGGGAAGCAGATTGAAGGCAGATTGAGGCAGGGTGAAGAGTGAGGAGGAGGGGAGCGGTGGCTGCAAGGCTTCCGAGAAGTTTGGTTTGGGTGTGTACCCTTTAATATCAAAACCAAGCAGAATTACAAAGGCTAGCGCCACATTGATTGATAATATCTTTCTCAACTTAATGGACAAAAAAATTCAAAGTGGACTACTTTTAACAGATATAAGTGATTATTTGCCAGTTTTTGTGGTTTTTGAAATGAAATGTAAGATTCATAGAGTAGATAACTATAAATTAGAGCGAATTAGACACCAAGAAAGCATTGAGGCCCTTAAAGTTGAGCTTTATAATCATGATTGGAGTGAGGTTTATGTTGAAGATGTGAATGAATCATATAATGCTTTTCTCAAAACTTTTATGTCACTGTATGATCACTTTTGTCTAGTGAGGGAGGTTAAATCAAGACACAAATGGAAACTAAATCCGTGGATGACTAGAGGTCTGCATAAATCTTGTAAAAAGAAAAATCAATTGTATAAAACATTCATAAAACAGCCAACCAAAAAAAATGAAGAAAAGTATAAACTCTATAGAAATAGATTGATAACCATAATTCGACAACAGAAGGTGAACTATTATGGCACACTGCTGCAAAAGTATAAATCTAATGTTAAAGAAACTTGGGGTGTAATTAAGGAGGTAATTGATCAGCATCATCCCAAGGATCAATTTACATACATAGTCAAAAATGATGGCAAAGAAACAAATCATGTGCAAGAGATCGCAAATGAATTTAATACATTCTTTGTCAATGTTGGTCCAAACTTGGCTAAACAAATACAACATACTCATGCAGCAGAGGCCTGTTCTGACAATAATAACAATTCCATGTTTCTTAGGGCCGTACTTGAGAGTGATATTTTAGAAGTGGTCAGGAAATGTAAAAATAAGAGATCAACTGATTGTAATAATATAGACATGTCATTGATAAAAGTGGTAATTCATAGTATTGTTAAGCCTCTAACATATGTCTGCAATAGATCTTTTACAACAGGAACCTTCCCTGAGAAAATGAAGCTGGCCAAAGTCCTCCCAATATTTAAAAATGGTAAAAAGTGTTTGTTAACCAACTACAGACCAATCTCCTTATTGGATCAATTTTCTAAAATTCTGGAAAAATTATTTGTCAAACAACTAGACTGTTTCTTAGAAAAAAATGATATATTGAGTGATCAACAATATGGATTCCGCAGTAACAGATCTACATCCCTAGCAGTCATGGACATGGTAGAAAATGTAACCTCAGCTGTTGACAAAAAAGAAAATATAATTGGAATATTTATAGACTTGCAAAAAGCATTTGACACCATTGATAATAAACTACTTCTAGAGAAATGCAATGGTTATGGTATCAGAGGTGTGGTGAATAAATGGCTTGAGAGTTACCTGAATAATAGACGTCAATATGTCCAAATGAATAGAACTAAATCACATTCTGAAACATTACTTTGTGGAATCCCCCAGGGGTCTGTTTTGGGGCCTAAATTATTTATTCTTTATTTTAATGACATCTGCAAAGTATCAAAAATACTGAAGTTAGTGATTTTTGCTGATGATACTAATTTGTTTTGCTCAGGGTATGACATGAATAAGTTAATTGAACAAGTTGAAACCGAGTTGACTTTAGTTAAAAAATTGTTTGACTTAAACAAGTTATCATTAAATGAGAATAAAACAAAATTCATGATTTTTGGACCCTGTAGAGCTCATTCTAATATAAGATTGTACTGGAATGGGATTGAAATAGAGCGAGTTAATGAGATTAGATTTTTAGGGGTGATTATTGATCACCAGATCAGCTGGAAACCACATATACAATATGTCAAGAGTAAAATATCAAAAACAATTGGTATACTTTATAAAACTAAACATGTGTTAGATATTAAATCTCTGCATATAGTTTATTCTTCACTTGTGCTTCCCTATTTGTCTTACTGTTCAGAGATCTGGGGAACCACTTATAAAACACATATAGATCCTATAATTAAAGTACAAAAAGGGCAGTACGTTTATTAAATAAAGTGGGTTATCGTGACTCTACTAATCAACTTTTTATAGAACATAACATGCTAAAATTTACGGACATAGTTAAGTTAAAAATTTTAGAAATCTTATTCAGAGTTGTAAAAACCAAAGAGATTCCTGTAGGTATTCATTCTTTCTTCAAAATAAGAAAAAGTTTCTATAATCTGAGAGGTTTTCTTCAGTTGGAAACAAGAAAATCCAGAACTAACGTTAAAAATAGATGTGTGTCTGTCATTGGAGTAAAAATGTGGAATAATCTTAATGACCAGCTTAAGTTAAAAAATACATTATCATTATTTAAAACTACCTTAAAATGTGAAATAATTAAGTAATATACCTTATCTTAGAAGTAATAATAATAAAGATATAGCAAAAAGAAATAAGTGAAAAAAATAAAAATACATTGTTCTACCAAATGTGTAATTTATCTTTTAAATCAGAAATGTGTACTTTTGTTTTGTTTGTTTATATAGTTGCTGTGTAGTAGCTAATGACCTGTATGTGTCATGATGTCAGGTTGGGCTTATACAAGCAAGTTGCTTCAGCCCAATCCTATTTTTGGTTGTAATATAGTCAGTGAATGTAATGTGTTATTGATCAAACAACTGACCAAAAATAAAAATTTCATACATTCATTCATTCATTCATTCAACTGTCAGACTCTGATCGTGTGTTGGCGAAGTAAGTGCAGCCCACAAGTCGACCCGAGGAGGGCAGTTCACAGGTGCAGATGGAGGAGGCAGGTTCTGGGATTCCATAATCACGCCATGAAACAGACAATGGGACATCGGGTGAATAGCAATGAACAGACTACAGCTGAAGGATTTAGGCTGCGGTACAGTGGGTGGCCTCTTTCCCACACACACACCTTTAATTCTGGTAGGTTCTTAGGATAAGCGTCTGCACATTCACTCACAGACTTCGTGCTGTAGTGCAAATGATCGGTGCGAGAAGAGCTCAGCCATGTTTACTCTGCCGAGGTAAGCGCGCTCATATTTTATACATTTACCTCATGGCTTTGTGGCCGAGAGGCGTTCACAAACAGAAATGTTTTAACAGAGAACAGCAGGAGCGACCAGTGGGGAGAGGAGCAGTTAGACTTAAGATGGATTTGGACGAGGGGAGAGGAGGGGAGACCAGGGGAGAACCAGGAGAGACCAGGGGAGAACCAGGGGAGAACCAGGGGAGAACCAGGAGAGACCAGGGGAGAACCAGGGGAGGCCAGGGGAGAACCAGGAGAGACAAGGGGAGAACCAGGAGAGAACAGGGGAGAACCAGGAGAGACAAGGAGACAAGGGGAGAACCAGGAGAGACCAGGGGAGAACCAGGAGAGACAAGGGGAGAACCAGGAGAGAACAGGGGAGAACCAGGAGAGACAAGGGGAGAACCAGGAGAGACAAGGGGAGAACCAGGAGAGAACAGGGGAGAACCAGGAGAGACAAGGAGACAAGGGGAGAACCAGGAGAGACAAGGGGAGAACCAGGGGAGAACCAGGAGAGACAAGGGGAGAACCAGGAGAGAACAGGGGAGAACCAGGAGAGACAAGGAGACAAAGGGAGAACCAGGAGAGATAAGGGGAGAACCAGGAGAGAACAGGGGAGAACCAGGAGAGACAAGGAGACAAGGGGAGAACCAGGAGAGAACAGGGGAGAACCAGGAGAGACAAGGGGAGAACCAGGAGAGACAAGGGGAGAACCAGGAGAGACAAGGGGAGAACCAGGAGAGACAAGGGGAGAACCAGGAGAGACAAGGGGAGAACCAGGAGAGACAAGGGGAGAACCAGGAGAGACAAGGAGACAAAGGGAGAACCAGGAGAGACAAGGGGAGAACCAGGAGAGACAAGGGGAGAACCAGGAGAGACAAGGGGAGAACCAGGAGGGACCAGGGGAGAACCAGGAGAGACCAGGGGAGAAACAGGAGAGACAAGGGGGAGAACCAGGAGAGACAAGGGGAGAACCAGGAGAGAACAGGGGAGAACCAGGAGAGACAAGGGGAGAACCAGGAGAGACCAGGGGAGAACCAGGAGAGACAAGGGGAGAACCAGGAGAGAACAGGGGAGAACCAGGAGAAACAAGAGGAGAACCAGGAGGGAGCAGGGGAGAACCAGGAGAGACAAGGGGAGAACCAGGAGAGACCAGGGGAGAACCAGGAGAGACAAGGGGAGAACCAGGAGAGATGAGAGGAATCCGGGAGAGACCAGGGGACCAGGGGACCAGGGGATTGACAACGGGGACCAGGGGAGAAGAGAGACAAGGAAGACTAAAGCTGAACCTGGTACTGGTTAAACAGGACCAGTGGAAACACTCTCCATTAGAGTAGAGTAGAGTAGAGTTGAGTAGAGTATTGTTAATTGGTTTCACATTTTAAATTGAAATATAAAAATGAATTAACTGAAATGCAGCCCGCGGAAATTCAATTTAGAAGACGTCAGCCAAAAGCTACCCCCTCCGGGCCGACTCGCATCCCCAGCCTATCGCACAGCAAACGCCCCTTCCAATCATACCGGGGCGGACAGGCCAGCCGCTTAAAAGCGGAGAAACTCCCACTTTACGGCCTCTCGAAGCCTCGCAGTGTATGCTAGCTACCCGCGCCAATACACCATGCAGTCTTCACCAAACTTCCGCGCGCCCGCGTTTCCTAATGACTTGGGGCCTGACTCCCCTTCCATCCTCCTCGGCAACGTCTCGCCTGTGCCCCCCAGCCCTCGTAAGAGTGTGCGTCTGGCTTCCAGGGACGCAGGGTCGGTGCGCACTTACCTCGCAGCGCGGGGTGTCGTGCCCGGCCCTGACGCTACGTCGCTCCAGCTCCAGAGCCTCTTCGACCAGCTGTCGGCGGGCTCTACCTCACCCCTCCGGGACTCGGTTCCCCCTCCCCGCAAACGTCAATCCAAGGCGAAGCACACCCAGGCGAAGCGCGCCTGCCTCCCGCGGCCTCCCCTCGCGGACTCCGGGCCTTCCCCTGGATCCTCGGGCTCTTCTGCTGCGGCCCCCCGGGCTCCTCCACGTGCTCGTAGGCCCCGCTCCGCTGGCGCACCTACGGCGGCCTTGGCGTCTCCCCAGGTCGTTCCTCCCGTGGCTGCTCCCCTGGCCGGTCCCGTGGACGCCTCCGCTGCGGCCCAGGACCGCGCTCTTCTCTGCGCACGCACGGACGCCATTCAGTCCGCTGTCTCCTCTCTCCAGCGCTCCGTAGCTTCGGTGTCCACGCGGCTTCGCGCCGTCGAGCACCAGGCTCCCGCCGCTGTCCCGGCGGTTTTTCCTGCCGTTGTCCCGGCGCCCTCTCCTACGGCGGCGTTTCCCGCGGACTCCCACGAGGCCGGCTTCTCCCTCGGCACCGCTGTCTCCGCTCCAGCGCCCGGTAGGCCCTACATCCATACTTTTTCTAATGTGTCTCCGCGCCTCCGTTCCAAGATTCTTCTGGGGCGCTATGTTAACTTGGTCTCCCTTATTCTTCCCTCTCCCGAGTGCGACCGGCAGGTGGCCGCTTCGGAACTTATCACCGCGGTCGTGAAGTCCGTGGATCCCCAGCTGTCCCGTGAGTTGAACATTGGGGAATTTCTCGTCGCTTTCGGGGTCTACCGCGATGTGATATGCTCCCTGTATCCCGAGCGGAGGCCTGAGCTGGACTCATACCTATGCCTGATGGGGGACCTGTCCCTCCGGTACGGAGGCAGCATATTCTATCGCTATCACAGGGCCTTCGCGGCCAAGGCCGCGGCCCTCATCACCCAGGCGAACTACAGAGTGGACTGGGCGACGCTGGACACCGAGGTGCTGCTTCTGTCCATCGGCGGTACCCCCGTAGTTTCCTGCTCCCGGTGCGGCGCTTCGGGACACACGTCCCCCCTCTGCCCGGGCATTCCCTTCGGACACGTCGGGGGCGAGACGTCCAGGCCTCAAGGGCCGCCTTCCCGTGCGCTCGGAGCCGGCCCCGCCCCCGTATGTAATAAATTCAACATGAGCGTGTGCTCCTTCGGTGCGTGCTCTTACCTCCATGTGTGCAGTCTGTGCAGGGAGGCCCACCCACGCTTCCTGTGTCCGCGGCGCGGCCAGCAAGGCCGCTTCGAGGGGCCTTCTTCCAGGCGCTGACCAGGGCCCACCTCTCGACCCCGGTCTCCGTGCACGGGCTCGCCTGCGCGCTCGAGCTCCATCCTGACCGATTTTCGTTCAATTCCTCCTGTCTGGTCTGGCCCACGGCTTTCTCGTGGGCGTCGAGGCCCTCCCCTCGGCGTCTCTCGTGTCCCGCAACCTCCTCTCAGCTTCCCGTGAGCCCCAAGTCGTTACGCGGCTTCTGGCACGGGAGGTGTCCCTGGGCTACGTCATCGGCCCTTTTTCCAGGCCCCCCTTCGCCCTGTTCCGCTCCAACCCGTTAGGCATCGCCACCCGTAAATACTCTGGGAAGAAGCGTCTTATTTTCGATCTCTCCTGTCCCCGCTCCGGGCCCACCCCGAGCATCAACAGTCTCATCCCTCTAGCGCCCTTCTCCCTGCAGTACGCTACCGTGGACCATGCGATCAGGCTGATAAAGACTTTCGGCCCCGGCTCCTGGCTTTCCAAGGCCGACATCACGGACGCGTTCAAGCTGCTGCCCATTCACCCCGACCACTGGCACCTGTTCGGGGTAAAGTGGCGTTCAGAATTTTTCTTTGCCGTGCGCCTCACTTTTGGCTGCCGGAGTAGTCCCTCTCTGTTTAATAATCTTGCGGAGGCGCTGTGCTGGATCCTGCTTAATTATGTACGGCTCCCCTCCGTCTTACATCTCCTCGATGACTTTCTCGTCGTAGACCCACCCTCGGATGGCTCCGGGAGCTCTCTCCGTAAACTCAAGCTCGCTTTCTCCGCCCTAGGAGTCCCCCTCTCCGAGGAGAAGACCACAGGCCCCGCCACCGCTCTGGAGTTTCTCGGCATCCGCCTCGACACACGCGCCATGGAGGCCTCCCTACCGCTGGAAAAACTCGAGCGCATCCGCGCTTCCTCCCGGTCTGCCCTGTCATCCCCGTCACTTTCGAAGCGTCAGTTGCTCTCCCTCCTCGGGCATCTTAATTACGCCATCCGCATCGTTCCTCAGGGTCGTTCTTTCATTTCCAGACTCCTCTCCCTCGCTGGCTCCATCTCCTCCCTCAATGACGCGGTCTACCTGGACGCGGGGTGCCGCTCCGACCTGGCGTTCTGGTCCCGCCTGCTGAGCCGCTGGAATGATGTCTCTTTTTTCTACAGTGACGTCGTCCTATCCTCGGATGCCCTGCGGTTCTTCACAGACGCAGCCCCGTCCGTGGGTTTTGGTTTTTTTTTCCAGGACCAGTGGTTCGCCGGGCCCTGGCCCGACGCCTTCCCTCAAAGCATCTCCTCCGCGCTCCACGAGATATATCCCGTGACCGTAGCCTGCGCGCTGTGGAGCCATACGTGGCAGAGGAAAAGGATTTCCGTGATGTGCGACAACCTCGACGTGGTCGAAATAATCAACAGAGGTCGTTCATCCTCTCCCCAAATCATGTCTTTCCTTAGACGCATCACATGGCTCTCAGTCCTGAACAATTTTATCATCACTGCTCGTCACGTCCCTGGTCACCTTAACTGTATCGCTGACTCTCTCTCTCGTTTCAAATTCCAGGAGTTCCGACGCCTCTGCCCTTCTGCCAACCCATCGCCATGCCAGATCCCCTGCATGGAATCCCTCGCCCTGGACTAGTCCCTCCGTCTCTTTGCCTCCTCATCTCCTCCGCTGCATCCTACATGAAGATGGGCCTCTCACCTTCCACTCTGAAATCATACAGTTTCGCTTGGAAAGTCTACTCCAGCTTCTGTCACGCCCACTGCATTCCACTCATTCCGCCCTCTGCTGTCACCGTCTGCGCCTTCATAGTTCACTGCGCGGATAATCTCCACTATAAAATCACCTACATTCGCTCTCTACTCGCCGGGATACAATTCCAGGCCCGCTGTCACAACCCTGCTTTCTCCTCTCTATTCTCTGATCCATCAATCAAACTCGTCATTAAAGGCATTCACAATTGCACCCCGCATTCCTCGGACCACAGGCGCCCCATCACACTGTCCATTCTCCACCAGCTCTGCGCCGCACTCAGCTCCAGCCCGCTCCCAAAGTACGCCATCGCCCTCCTGTCCAGCGTCTTCCTCCTTGCCTTTTACGGCTTCTTACGCATAAGCGAATTCACCAACCCCCACGCCACCTTTAATGCATCCCAAGACATTGCCTTCTCCGACCTGTCTTATTATCCCGACTACTTCAACCTCCACCTCAAGCATTCCAAACGCAAAGGCGCTTGCAATATAGTCATAGCCCGATCTGACACTTCTCCCTGTCCCTACAGATCCATGATGCATTACACTCGCCTCCGCTCACGGAAAGGAGATCTCAACGGACCGCTATTTCTCACTCTCGATAACCTCCCGATGTCATCCAACTGGTTCAGAGCCCAACTCAAGTCTGTACTGCTGCTTTGTAACCTGTCTCCCCATCTCTACACAGCTCACTCCTTCCGAATAGGCGCCGCCACGCGCGCCGCGTCCCTGGGTCTCCCCCATTCTGCCCTCCAGCAGCTGGGCCGCTGGTCATCATCGGCCCTTTCCTCATACATCAGGCCTGACACTCCGACTATTCTCGCAGCCCAGCGCCTCTTGGCATCTCCATAAAACACTCGCAAAACTCCTGGTGGCGGCAGCAGCTGAGTATCCGCATATAACGGTCACAGCATATAACGGTCACAGCATATAGTGATAGCGGTCATAGCATCAGTGATAGCGGTCATAGCATCAGTGATAGCGGTCATAGCATCAGTGATAGCGGTCATAGCATCAGTGATAGCGGTCATAGCATTAGCGTTAGCGGTCACAGCATAGCAAAAAATGGTTAGCGCATAAACGGTCACAGCATAGCGATAGCGGTCACAGCATAGCGATAGCGGTCACAGCATAGCGATAGCGGTCACAGCATAGCGATAGCGGTCACAGCATAGCGATAGCGGTCACAGCATAGCGATAGCGGTCACAGCATAGCGAGAGCAGTCACAACGTCTGTCCCCTGCAAACTAGGCTGCAAACTCCATCAACACACAGCCTTTTGGGGATTCTACGCGCTCCAGCGCAGGAGCCTCTCCGAACTGAAGGCCGCACCGGGGCCTAGGGCGCCAAACCACCGCTCATTAAAATACTCAAAAGCATT